CTGGTTGGACACGTACCTCCACTCTTTCCTATCCTGAGCTAAACTTCGCATTTCCCTAAAACTAGAACAACCCACATCCTTAACTATTTGCGAACAGTAATCTAATCTATGTCCACCTCTACCCCTCCTAACTCCTGTTTCTGCCTCTAATATGGCTCTGACTAGACCTTCCTGTCTGAGAAGGTGTCCTACCAACCTATCTCGCCTATTTTATATTGACTTCCATAGAGTCCTCTATTCTCCTATTCTCTCTAATACCTTTTCATTTCTAACCTTCATCATCATCGCCTATTCCACTCTTTCCTATCGTTTAGCTCAGGAACGCATTTCCCTAAAATTATAATATCCCACATCCTTAACTATTTGCGAACAGTAATCTCATCTAGGTCCACCTCTACCCCTCCTAACTCCTGTTTCTGCCTCTAATATGTCTCTGACTAGACCTTCCTGTCTGAGAAGGTGTCCTACCAACCTATCTCGCCTATTTTTTATTGACTTCCATAGAGTCCTCTGTTCTCCTATTCTCTCTAATACCTCTTCATTTCTAACCTGTTCTATCCTCATCATTCGCCTATAATACCACATTTCCAAAGCTTCTAACCTTTTCTTTTTCGCCGCGCCCACTGTCCATGTTTCGCACCCATACAACGCCGCGCTCCAAACATGCACCTTTAACAACCTTTTCCGAATTTCTAAATTCACCGTTCGCCAACATAGAAGTGACTTTTCTTTATTAAAGGCGACACGACCCTGCGCTATCCTCTGCTTTATATCCCTACTACTCCTTCCATCCTCACTTATCTGGCTTCCTGAATATCTAAAATCTGCCACTCGTTCTAATTTTTCGTCTTCTAACTTTATATTCGTTCTTTCCCTACTTTTTCTTCCCAGTACTGTTTTGTTAGTACTGCTCCCATTTTATTTAAAGCTATATCATCTGCAAATCTAAGCATACTAATCTTTTGCCCCTGTATATCTATCCCTACAGTTGTGCTGTCTTTAATGATGTTGAAGTATCGTATTATTATCAGACAGATACAGAAAGTCTCCATCCCTAAAATAAAGGATCAACTAGATCTTAAGGATTTCCCTATCATAGTAGAAATGTGACAAAAGACAAAAGACTTTTACCGTTTTGTAATTACCTAGTAACCCCACGTAAAAGTCGAAACAGGTGTCAGACAAATTTAAATAAATGTTTGTGCATGATTAGCACGTGCTATTTATTTGTTCTTTATTATTAAAGAATGTTTGACGATAAAACCTCGAAATAACCTTATCGATTTTTATTAAACATGTGCCTTTTTCAAAAGGCTTTTAAATACTGAAAATTTTTACAGGTTGTCATCGATTACTTCAATCCTTCCATTCTCCAATGCATTCTATTATCCTGGGCTCGAGAATTGGGTTTTATTATTTGTTATGGTGCCATAGTTCTAAAACTTTACCGTCACTTAATCGAATTTCGAACGAGAAAGGCACACCGATGGGTGGTAAAAGATACAGATCTGCTCAAGTACCTTCTCATTATGGTTTTGGCCGTTTTTGTCTACATGGCTGCCTACGTAGCCATTTCGCTGAACTTTCATTACGAAAACTTCGACCTCCTTTACAAAGGAGTCATTTCAGATAATATGAATTACGTAGCATGTAAGCCGTTATGGTGGGACTACGTTACGGAGATTGGGGAATTGTCGATCCTAGTCTTCGGAATACATCTAAGTCACGCCTGCAGAAACGCTAAAACGCAGTTCAATGTAAGTGAATTTTTTTATTTTTCTTTGATAAGTGTGTCTTTAAATCGAATTGTAAATATTGACATAATACTATCATTAAAAGATTCTATTCATTTTTGAAGTGAAACTTCCTTGCGCACCCTAGGGTAAGTTCGTTTCATGCGAGTTGCTATGTAACGAAATCGTGCAACGCATTTCCCCCGCTGTCTGTCCCTATGTATGTTTAGATCTGTAAAACTACGCAATTGATTTTAATGCGGTCTTTTTTAATAGATAGAGTAATTCAGGAGGAAGGTTTGTATGTATAATACATGCATAATATAGTTGAGAAACACTGATAATTTTAGAGGTTTGTAATGTGATGTCGTAAATAAACACATTCTTTGCGCTTAGATGGCTGAACCCTACGAGATAGATCAAAATAATGTACTACAGTATTGTACTACTTAAAAAGGTCTACAAAAAAGTCCGGGATTGTATATGTCCATCTCTTAGGGATAACCCAAAATCACCATTTTTTTACGAGAAATAATGGCTTANGCTCTCAATAAGAAAAAATCGAACCTTATATTAGTACTTTCTAGAAGATATAATTTGGTCATTTGATCATTTGTTTTTAAGTTTTCTTAATATTCTATCAATTATACAATTATTGAACATATAGAATTTAAACGGTTCCTATCCGTGTATTTTTACGTCCTGAATATTAATTTCTTATAATCTAACAGTATTGTGACAGAACTGACCAAATGCCACGGACAGGAGGAGCCTGATATTTATTACAAATTTTTTAAAAAAATTTTAATCTTGTGTTTCATCAGTTTAAGTTAGACATTAATTCAAGAACATACATGAATTATGCAAATAAATTATCAAGATTTGAACAGATTCATAAGAAAAAGATATCGCCCAATTTTAGAACGCATTCATTGCGCTAGGCTCATTTTTGCCGCGACAGTTGTTTGTTACTTGGGGAATCTCCGCTTTCTATTTTTGAAGGACGTTCATACGCTAACGCTAGAGCCAAATGAGTACTAACCTTTTACGAAATTTATTTGGGTTTTGAGAACGCTTGGTAATTATACATATCTACTGTATTTCCTAATTTATAAGGATAAAAGTACGGTCACTTGTGGTGATTTCGGACTGGCGAGGCGAAGTCGGTCACTCGTTGTATTTCTACAACTCTCGCCAAGATGTCCAAAATATTCCGATTAATAACTACATCACGCGTTACTGTCGTTTCAGTAGTAGACAAACATCGGCTAGGTGTGGTTGTTTGTTGGGAATATTTCAATTTACGACATGCAGGGGTGCCTTTTAAGAGTTACTTTTTTTTCGTATTTTTAAAACGTTCCCAAACAAACTTCTATAGCGCAAATTTTAGTAGGGATATAAGATTTCTGCTTCTAGTAACATGTTGCCTATCCTTTTGGTAAAATACATTTCCAAAAAAAAAAATAAATTTATCGTCCTGTTTTTTAGTAAAATACACTTGAATAAAAAATTGTCCACAAGTGGGGTGAATCCGGACAAAATGGTGAGAACTTATAAAAAGAAATAGGTGCTCAATTTATGAGCTACTCATAGGAAGATTTGGAAAAAGCATTATTGGACATACAGAACAGAAGAAGGAGCATAAGACAAGCAGCAGAATGCTATAAAATACCAAAGTCAACATTCAATGATAAAACAGGAAACCAAGGAGCACAAACAGCTCTCTGCAATGCAGATGAAAAACTGATTGCCGAAGAAATTACAATATTTAGAGAATGGGGTTTTCCCATGACCCGAAATAACATACGGGGTCTGATTAAAAAATATTTTGGTAGGTAAGGACCTACAATAAATTGTTTTAAGGATAACATGCCCGAAGTGGAGTGGTTTTACTCATTTCTGGTAACAAACGAGATTTTAACCGAGCGTTTTTCTCAGAATATCAATAGGTGTCGAGCGAACGTGACTAAAGAAATTGTCCAAGATTTTTTTAATAATGTATCTGAAACCATGAAGGATGTCTCCAGTTCTAATATACTGAACTACGATGAGACTAATATAACTCATTAGCCTGGGAAAGCAAAAGTACTTTGTCGTCGAGAATCTAAAAGGGTTGAAAGAATTATTGACTAGTAAAACTAGCACATGAGTTATGATGACTATAAGTGCAGCAGGAGAACTATTGCCCCCCTACATCGTCTACAAATCTATCCATCTTTAACCAACCTGGATAGAAGGAGGACCAGAAGGTGCTATTTACAATCCCTAGTGACATTATCGACATTATAAAAGATAAGAACAAGGCAAGGCAAAACTACGTTTGAACCTACAATCCACAGGATAAGCAAACCCTTAACAAGCTATCCGACGAAATAAAATCTCGACTAAAAGACTTCTACAACACACAATGAAAGACTGGATGAAGCTGAAAAATCCGGTGTCTCTCTATATTCGCTCGACAAAAAAAGAAAAAAAGCAACGATATCGACACCCTAAACAAAGACAACACATTTGCTATTACCATGAAGAAAAAGCAGAATTCATAGCCAACCACATTGAAAACCAGTTCAGACCAAACCCGATCGACGAAATTCTTCTATCCACTAACTATGGAAGCAATACTCTTTCAGCAACTGCAAGTCGAACTAGAAGATAGACAACACTATTCCACTACTCATCAACTCGCCAAAGTCACCTCTTTCGTGGTAAAAGCCCTCAACCAAGGCTAAACAACAACAGTAATCCTCCTTGATACAGAAAAGTCTTTCGATTTCATTATTACTATTTTTTTTTTCGATATTCGTTTACTTCTTTTAAGTACCTTGTACTATTTTGTTCGCTAAAAGGTCAATTTATGCGTTGGANTGGCTCTAATATGTCTCTGACTAGACCTTTATGCCTAAGAAGGTGTCCTACCAACCTATCTCGCCTATTTCTTATTGACTTCCATAGAGTCCTCTCTTCTCCTATTCTTTCTAATACTTATTTAATTCTAACCTTTTATATCCTCGTTATCCTCATCATTCGCCTATAACACCACTTTTCAAACGCTTCTAACCTTTTCTTTTCCGCCGCCCCCACTGTCCATGTTACGCACCCGTACAACGCCGCACTCCAAACATACACCTTTAACCACCTTTTTCGAATTTCTAAATTAATCATTCGCGACCCAGCGCTGTCCTCTGCTTTATATCCCTACTACTCCTTCCGTCCTGACTTATCTGACTTCCTAGATATCCAAAATCAACCACTTCTTTTAATTTTTCGTCTCCTGTCTTTATATTCGCTCCTTCCCTACAAAATGTCATGTGTCTGTAAATCTATGTCATCGATCATGAGTATAATATTACATACATAGGTAGTCAGTACGATTCTGTGGTGTTATGTGATTGTGTGATTCTGTCATGTTGAATGACTAAAAGCGAAACTAGTAAGATTTGAATCTTGATGCATATTTGTACAGAGCCGCATAATTGGCCGAATCTTTCTTTGAATAACGGTCATGTTTTAATAAATTGGGGGTCTGTGTACTGCATCTAGAAGGCAACTCGAAATACCATTAAAATTAACAAAAGATCCTAAAAATCATAATAAAGCAATAATATCGAATAGTTGAATCAAGCATTTTGTAAAAGCTCAATTGCACGGTTTAGCGTGAGGAAAAGTTAAATACCCATATAAAGAACTACAGGTAGAGAATTTAGATGTTAAAAAATCCATTAAGCGACTTGTGTTTATTGTTGGTAAACTATTTATTATTATTAAAGCAAAACTTTTATTACATCGCCTCAAAGTTTTTCG